GCGGCACAACAGAAATTGACGTGCATCCAAGATAAACTAAATCCGCGATGACAACGCGTTGGAGACAATTCGTGAGCAAGGATCTTAATTATAACAAAGAGAGAACGTGACCATGACGGAAAAGCCCGGTTTCCTCTCATATGACAGACAAACTGCCTTACCTAGCGATGTCATCGTAATACGCAAGCAAGTACTAATTGAAGGCACTGTACGTTTTACGTTTCCTAGAAGAGACAGAACCTCCGTTTCCAGGTGGACATCCGAGCAACGCGAAGGTCTAGTCATTGACAGGGCGAAAGTAGTAACTTTATTTCCCAGTTACGATAAAACTACGCTGAGTATCGGTCTTGTCCCAGGATTTGAGCCCGCGACTTACCGCTCTTATGCAACGAAGTTAACCCCACCTGCAGACTCTGCCGTAGTAAAATACGGCTTTCTATCTGCTCGTTGTCTTTTGTTAACTTTCGGGGATCATTTATGGTTTATGACGGAAAAACTACTTATACCGTTTTTTTTTTTCGCTCATAAGGCGCTGCATTTTTTTTTGAATGAACGTTTTCTTGATAGCTCTACTTATAATTTCGGGTTGCGTCTTACAACCGAGTATTTTCGGGGGAGGGGGCGGGGGGGGGTAATTTGATGACGGTGCAAGGCGGATGTGAGCAGGAAAAACAGCGTGACGTCACGAGGGCGAGGCGGGTGCCAATTTGTATCTGTCCAGAGGTTATCACAAACACCCGGGGGGTACTCCCATATATAAGCCATATGGCTATGTGCCGCCCCATCGGGTAGGGTTTTTGCGCTGTTTTGGTCTGAAAACGGGTAAACACTTTGCCCATTTTAGTCTGGAATCGGGTGTGGTTTTATAGGGAACTACGGAGTGTATGAACGTATTCATCGCTTCAATTCCAAATGAGTAAGAAAGAAAAAGAAATATGCAAATTCGAAATGGATTTGAATAATTTTTTTGTTTGCGCTCTAATCTAAGTAATGATAACATAATTTCTGCCTAAAGGCCAGGTATGAAAACGGGTATGGATTTTAGAGGTCTAGTCTGAAAACGGGTGTGGAAAATTACATTTTTTGGCCTGAAATCAGGACACCCCGACCAAGAATTCCTAGGAGTCCCCCCCGGGCACAAACACAAGAAGAAACTCGGCTAAAATTGCAAGTTAAACTTTTATTTTAGTAAGTAAGAATACAAAAAGTAACAGGGCTCCACAACATCTACCTGTCGCAGAATTTGCCTAACATGCATTCATGGGTGAAATTGAAAATTCAATCCATACAGCTGGCACTGAATGTATTAATTAAAAATGAAACAGTTTGTCACTTCAGCCATATATCATTTAAGTTTAACCAATTTTAGCGTGGTTCAACACAAGCATTCAGTTGAAAACATAAAGCTAAAAAATACTTATTAATTCATGACACACTGTATCTTGGTTCCAAGAAGGTTCGCTCAAAGCGTGAGACTATCAATGGGTATTTCCGACGAATCAAAGTTGTGACGATCCCTACTGAAGAAATTTAAGATCTTAGAGATCGTCGCTTGTATTTGCTCAAGATCGCTGGTAGCGCTATTACGCTAAAATAATACTGTCTAGATATGCATACTTATATCTACGATGGCTTTTAATGTGTCGAACAAAAATGCTGCTTTCAAAACTGGTTTCTGTGGCCAGTGAACCAAACGAGTGTTGACCAGAAAAATATTTTTTGTCCACGACTCCTTAACGCTGTTTTGCTGTAGTCGTGTCAAAGGATGAAAACGCAGTTTTTTTAAAAAGGATTATGTCAGAGTGATGTATACCAGTATACCAGTAAATGCGTATGCTCCTATCAAAGATGGTACCGTTTCTATTGTTGCGTTATAACGTTTACGCCTTATTTGTAATTCTGCTGACGCCAGCTTTGCCGGTGCGTTCTGATTAGCAATACGAGATTAATTTTCTGATTGGTCTTTTCGTTAGTTTTCCCTGTTTTTTGCTAAGGGCTTGTTTACATGGAGGTGGGGGACCCCAGGTATGAGGTAGGTGAGGTAACACGTTCTGCGTCACCCCACCTATCATTTAAACGTGATCAAATTAAAATGAGAGATTCTATGGACAGGCGGGTTACAATCTTACTTCAGTAGCTAATGCGACATTCTTACTGTCGCAAATAAAGAGTAGCTAAAGTTAACGTTACTCGATGCTATCAAACACAATTACGGAGAAAGAAAAAGGATCGGGAAACACAAAGTGACAAAATTATTCGAAATCCAGTAATCGCACAACGAAAGAAAAAACAACCTATTAATTTGTTCAACTGAGTCCTTGTTTCTTGGGAAGCCATCTTTGCAGAAGTGGCATACGATTCTTAGTCGTTTCCGAGTTTTCTTTTGTTTTTGCGAAGTGCACCAGTCAATTTTCGGGGGGGATCCAGGATTTTTTAATGGGGGGTGGCTGATAACAATCGGCCACCAAACTATAATCGAAACTATTCGTTAATTCGTTAAATTGTCCTACGTTTGTCGCAAAACATGGCGATTTGGAGACTGTAACATTGTAAACTCTTGAAACGCCACAAAATAGAAGAAGTAGAGCGTAAAGAACCACCCTACTAACCTAGTCGGCCAAAAGCAAAGACGCCGTCATTGGTCTAGGGTGCAGGGCCACAAATTTCTCACAAACCACGCTTCTATCGATGGTAACAGCATTTGCATACATGGCCGGCGATGACGGCCAAATCTGAGAGTCGTTCCGCGGTCATTGCGTTGCGAAGCCAAGTATGGATCCTCCGAATAGAGGAAAATGACCGCTCCACCTTCGTGCTTTCCAGAGGCAAAATGGAGAGAATTTTCAGACGTTCTCTCACGTTTGGGAAGATGATGTTGTATGCGTGTTATATGTCTGTGAGGAGACCGAGATGGAGTAATAATCCGGCGTTGCCTGTCGCTTCCATTGGTTCATTCATAGAAACAGTTACTGACTTTCGAAAGATGACGGGAAGAGTATCAGATGGCCCCACTTCTCATACAATACTTGAGCAAGTTCCGGGCGCGGATCTAGAATACATACTGACGGACTTCATAAAAGAGCGTCTACTAAGGCGCATGCTTCTAGGGGGGTCTGGAAGGGATACTCCCCCGGGAAATTTTTGAAATTTTCCACTCCCTCAAGCTCCCTCATTTCTGGGTTTCTGAGTCATTTACACAGGATGTTGACAAGTGTTCAACTTGGAATTTTTTTCCATTCAAAATATATCTATTTATGACCGATTTTCGTAAAAAGTTGCAAACCGTTGTGGATCCGCTCCTGAGTTCTACTGTGGTTTCTTGACACTTAGAGGTGATTACTTCAGGAGTAAGAGCGCAGGTCTCATAATGTGCCCTCTTTTTCTGAGAAGATTACCTCAATGAAAGATATTGTCACCGGTAGTTTTCTCCATTTCTTTGGGACCCACGTATCATTTCGTATGTTTTTCCACGCATTATATTTTGGTATATTTTTTTGGTGAGCTGTTCTAAAGGAGGGTGGCTGGCCATCCAATCCACCTAACCCTAACCCAATCCACCCCCTCCTCCCCCTGGATCTGCCCATGTTTTTGCGATGTTTATTGTCATTTTCTGTTCCAGTGCACCTCTCCAAGTCTGTTTTATTGAGCACCAGGACTCTCTCAATTCCTTCAGTAAAACACAATTAAAGAAAAGAACCGCAAGTTTCTAAAAATTTCGTCCAGAAAGTCGGATCATATTAAATATTCCTGTTTAACTTGCACAGTAATTTACATGATAATACAGCACGAGCATCTTCTTCTCCTCCTTTCATCGTCCTACAAAAAAAATACAGCACAAGAATAAACTACAGTCCAATTAGGAAATCCTCCGATAAGAGGCCTTAAAGCTGAAGTATATCCAGCTTTTCCTATTTGCTGATTGGCTTCCCAATCAGCAAGTTTAAAGACGTACTCTGCTACGCCAGAGAGAATTTATGTCATTGACATTTTATATCTGAGCTCCGGGACGTAAACATTATATACTATTATATGGAAGAATTCAGCTACGGCATTTCAGGATTTCAGAAGAAGGAATTCAGTGTTAAGTCTACCATAAACTCGTAAATCACAAAACAATGCTAAACACCACTTCACTTGCTTTGCACGGGCTGGGTTCTCATTTCAAAAACATTTAACCTAATTATTAACCACCAACTCAGAAATCCTCCGCAATGGAGGCCTTATAAGCGAAGGCTGCTGAGCGTGTAACCTTTAGAACTTTTCGCATCTTTTGAATGTAGAACATTGACAATATTCTAGACTGCAAACAGTCTATCTTTTTCTTCAGATTTAGTGAGGGCAGTGCACACGTGCGCGAGCGTGAGTCGAGCGGCGAAGCCACGACACGCGAGAAACGAGGGCGGCAGCCCAAAGAATAAAAGAGAGACTACTCATAGTCTACGGACGATCTTGCATTATCAAGTTCGAGGTTCCCTTTCTCGTCCTGCCACAAAATAAATCATGAAACGACATTCAACAGCAGAAAACTTCAAAATGAAATTTCAAGACAAGGGTAGAGGCCTAATTATCTATCTTTAAAACACATTTCCACGAAGGCTTTCCCTTGCAACCCAGAATCAGAAACTTGAGAACGACATTTCGCATTTAGTTTTTAATGTTACGTAAAAAACACGTCAAAAGGTCATCATCATCAATTAACAAACGGAGATGCCTTTTAACAGCCTCGCGCAAGTAGAAGCCTAAATACCTACTTCTGTTTCCAGCGAGGATCTAACTGAGGGCCTGTTTACATGGAGGTGGGGGACCCCAGATACGTGATCATGTAAACGTGGTCAAATTAAAATGAACATTTATATGGCCAGGCGCGTTACCCCACCCAAGCGAGTTACCTCACCTACCTGGGGTCCCCACTTTCATGTAAACAGGCCCTTAAACGTTGTTTAAAAACAATGTCGAAGAAAGGCTTTACCTTAACAGTGAACAATTGTTCTAACTCAGGCAAGACTTGGGACTCGGAGGTTTGGTTTTCCATCTCCTATGACGTGAAAAAACGAAAGGTTCATCATCTTTGTACTGCCATTAAAGAGCGTCTAGCAATGTCATGACATTTTGGAATTATTTTTAAACCCTAAACACACATTTCCCTGCTACCAGAGGGCTCTTTTCCTCCCGCCCGCCGAATACCAGGGAAAAGAGACCTCTGCTGGCAGGGAAAACACACATTGGAAGGAAAGAAAACCCTGAAATAATGCTTCAGTTCTATTTAAAACGACTTGACGTACTACTAGACCTCAACTTTAATTGTCGGTGTCGCTGGCTTTCAATGCCGGCCAGGATGGTAATGGATTGCAACTTGAAAAAACGGGGCCAACTTTTTCAAGTTTAACTCCTGTGCTACCTTTTCCGGTTGCAAAGTAAAAGTTCATTTGAATTTTGTGTAAAAGCCTGTGCCCTAGTTTACGTTTGCTATTTTTCATTCAGTTTTAAAACCTAGTTTAATAAAACACGTTTAGTTGGTGTCAATAGGGAATAAGCAATGGCAAAACGCCCCTTCCTTTTCACAACCGGCCTACTCCTCCTAATAATTATTGTGCAGTCCCTTAAAAAAAACCTTCATGAAAAATATCAGCAACCCACCCGTTCTTGATCATCCACTGATTCATACAATGGGGTTTCTTCTTCAGTTTCAACGACTTCTCCATCGTTCTGGCAAAAATCATACATTTTAAGATGTTAAACACCATCCACCTTCTCTATGTAACTGTAAGCCCACCAGCGCACTTATTACTTTTAAAACGAACACACATTGGAATGACGAAAACCTTAAAAAGATGGTTCAGTTATATTTAAAATGGCTTTACCTACTACTGTACCTCTACTATAAATTTAAGACTTTGGTTTTCATGGCCTGGATGAAAACGGATTGCAACTTGAAAAAATTGGGCCAACTTTTTCAAGTTTAACTCCTGTGTGCCGTCACGTGATTGAAAATTACACGAACAATCATTTATGTTTCATGATTTCCGCCTGCCGTGGTAAAACATTTTAGAGACAGCATCTGCCACAGATCTTGTATGATTGTAATGTGAATGACATATTTAATATAAACAAAAGAGGTGAGCTAATTACAAGGTGCGAACCCTTATATTAGTGACTGGACTTGCTGCAAAACACTGTAACCATCCGAACTACCAGACGGAGAGTTATCGATCATTTCATGGAAGTTTACGAGAACAAAACACACTCCTTCTTTAACTCATAGATAAGGTGCCTGTTTCTAATTTCTTCGTTGATCAATCAACTGTTAAACAAAACTCTTTTTTCAAAAATCAATAGGTCTACTTGGCACAAAATGTCAGAGATATCTTCCCTAAACACCGAGCTTAAAAAAAAGGGAATCTTTTATTTCCAAGGCAAAAGTCACTTTTGGCTAGCCTGTTCCAAGCATTCAGATAGTGGGGAAATAGGCTACTTTTGGCCTTTTGGATTCAACGCGGCCAATACCGGGATTTAACGCACATTTAACATGTTCGCCCCGGTGGCGGGGAAATTAACAAAATACCTGTTTTACCCTAGTCTCCTTCGCATCCGTTATTAGGGTCGTCACGCAACGCTCCTACCACCAGTATGGAGGAGCGTTGCGTGACGACCCTAATAACGGATGCGAAGGAGACTAGTTTTACCCAGGTCATGAGCGGAGATTAAACAGTAATACCAGTTTTCGGAAGCGGGGACAGAAGCGGGGATTTAACATGACTGACTAAAGGAAAAGCCTCGTTTCCAAAAGTTTTGTATGGCGGCAGAAGAGAGATGATGCCGCAGGGAATGATAATATTAAAACAGAGGAGAAACAGGGCAAAAAGCACAAAAACAGGTTGCCCTAGTCTCAAGACACAGAAAGAAAGTGTATAGAACGTCCTACACATTGGTCGAGCGTTGCCTCAAAAGGACTTCACAAATCTCATTCGAGTCTCATTTGCTCACCCCGTACGTAAACGAAGATAAATTAATCCCAAAAGCGCTTTCTAAACTTCCCGATTCCTCTCCCATTACTTTCACGATTAGAAATTGGAGAAAGACAGAGCTGTGTCGCTTCCCAGGGGGTACTCCGGGTAATTCTCGGAGGGGGTGTGCCGCCTAGTTCTCCAAATTCTGACCCTATTTCACACCAAAAAGTGTTATTTTCCACACCCTTTTTCAGACCTGACCTCTAAAATCCACACCTGTTTTCACACCTGACATTTAGGCAGAAATTATGTCGGAATTACAGTCAACTGGCCCTTTATAGCGGACACTGTAGGAACCTCAAATTAGTGTCCTCATTAGCGAGAGTCCGTTATAGCGGGAGTTTATTTAAGTCAAACGTCTGTAATTCGTTTTTGACGGAGAATTTAGCTGCTGTCCGTATTATCGGGGCGTCCGCAAGGCGAGAGTTGACTATACCTATATGGCTTATAGAAGGAAGTATCCCCCCCCCGCGGGGTTTCGCTTAAGATCCCTTACCCTTACAAGTATACCATACAGAAGTTACTCAGTTTTGTAAGCGATCTAACCACATTTTTCTACACTGGCTCCAGAGGTCCGTTCTCAGGAATTAGGTAAGAAAAAAATCCTCCGGCACCCAGGGTAACATTTTTCATGAATTTGAAGGAACGCAATCGAGAGGTTCAATGAACAGGTCCGATGGTTTGAATTTTAAGAAATACAGAATACCAGATCGGACAGAGCGGTTGAAATCGAGCCTAGAACTACACTTTACTAATTCCCTGCTGTAGGGGGCTTTGAACAAACTACTTGGCCAGGGGAGCGGGGAAATTGGCGGTGTTTTAACACCAATCCAATGTTAAATTCCCCGCTACGTTCCGGGGGCCGGGGGGCCGGAGTTTCAAATGACTGCTGCACAAACTTAAACAAACGAAGCTGGTGACTAACCTGTTCCTGTTCAGTCTCTTTTTTAGATGATGAATAAGCTGATTAATTTAACTGTAACCCACAGATAAGAACTTGCGTGATCTCGTTTGGCCAACCTGGTTCTTATATTGTTGGGTAATAAAGAAGCAAATTGCTACCAGCAGGTTATTAAGCCACTAGGTTCTTACACGCAGGTTTTTACTGTATTAAAAACTAACTCAGTATCACCAACTCGGAAATCCTCCGCGATGGAGACTTACAAATGAAGGCCCCTGAGCGTATTTGATTATCTCTGATGGACAGAAAAATAGACCTGTTCACACAAACACTGAAAGTCTTACTAAATATTTAATAAATAAACTTTCACAAAAATAGGTGAGTGATGACTAACCTGCTCCTCCTCATGCGCTGATTCAGGTAATGAATCAAAAAAGAGGTGAGGGTATTCACTCTTCCAGTAGTTCTCTGATGGCCATTCATGTTCATCTTCGGGGTTTTCTTTATAATCCTTCAACAAAATACAAAACAATACTTAAAACCACCCATCTCCCTTAAATAAAGCGTGGACGTGTACACATTTCAAAACCTTCATTTAAGAACAATGGAATTATAGAACAGAGACAAAGGATATTTTAAGGGAGCAACGAAAAAAAGATGGACAAACACTTTGACAAGATGTACTAAATTCAAAACAGGCGGCACGTACCGACCGTGTAGATCATTAAATCAAAACTTGGCCTAATAACAAGTACAGCGTCTGATGGGCAAATTTAGCCGGCAACTGAGTTCTGCTAAAGGGGTGAGATAATTACAAGGTGTGAAACCCTCCGCTAGTGACTGGACTTGCTGCAATACACTGCAACCATCCGAACTACCAGAGAGTTATCGATCACTTCATCGGAATTTACGAGAACAAAAACGAACTCGTTTTTAAATCTTAGACAAGGTGTTTGTTTCTAATTTCTTAGTTGATCTACCAACTGTTAAACAAAATTTTTTCGAAAGCCAATTGGTCTCCTTGGCACAAAATGTCAGTAGGAAAAGTAAGCGATATCTTCCCTAAACAGCTTCCAAGGCAAAAGTCATGTTTGGCGAGCCTGTTCCAAGCATTCAGATAGTGGGGAGTGGATCGGAGTAGAGCAAAGTGAAAAGGAAGGGCAGTTTTCGTTTCTCACCGACTCCGGTTCTCTTTACGGGCTGTTTCGAGCGTGTTTGATTATCTCTGACGGACAGAAAAATTGAACTGTTCACACAAACACTGAAAGTCTCACTAAACATTAAATAAATAAACTTTCACAAAAACTTTCAGTGATGTCTAACCTGCTCCTGTTCATGCGCTCATTCAGGTGATGAATCAGGAAAGAGACGAGGGTAGAGAATTCTCCAGAAGTCCTCTGATGGCCATTCATGTTCAGGTTTGGGGTTTCCTTTATTATCCTGCAACAAAATACAAAACAATACTTAAAACCACCCATCCACTTTTAGTAACGTGTGGACGTGTGCACATTTCAAAACCTTCATTTTAAGTACAACGCGAGTACAGTGACAAACGAAAGACAATTGTTTTTTGACAAGAACTTTGACAAGATGTACTGAGTTCAAAACAAGCCTCGCGTACCAAAAGCAAAGATCAACAGTCAAAACTTGGCCTCATAAAAAGTACAGTGTTTAGACAAAAACCAGCCTGGAGCTGTGTTCTGCTTAAGGTGTGAGCTTATTATAAAGTAGGAAACCCTTAGTACATGGACTTATTGCAAAACTCTGTAAACATGACCAACCAAACCAGATCGCTTTATGGCGAAGAAACTGACTGGATCTGTTTTAAGATTCATACACAGGTTCGGCTGATTCCAATTTATCCTCGGCCCAACCGTGCGGCATACAACAAAAGAATTCTTTTCGGTCTGGTTGGAACGAAATGTCAATAGGTGACATCAGCGCGGTTTTTTGCTAAATAGCTTTAAAAAGCGTCTTCTTTTTTCAAGAGAACAAATATAAGTCGCTTTTGGCTACCATGTTCTAGGCGTTCAGATAGTGGGGAGTGGCGGTAAGATGACCGTATAAAAAACAAAGCAGAAGAAAGGGACAGGGGCTCCCTAAATACATTATAAATTCCTCGCTGTTCTGTTTCCTCGTTTCTCCACACTCGCTGAACGCCTGAAACAGGCTACTTGTGGTCTATAAATGTCTGAGTGCGTCTCAAGAGAGAATAGACAGCTATAGCCCTGCCGTTTATTCCTAACAGAAACGGCGATCCATGGGCCATCGATATAATTTCGGAAATATAATCATTCACTTCAAAATAATAAACGAATAAGCTCTCTCTAATAAAAATTTGACCTGCTGTGAATGAATGAACTGAAAAATCCCTAAACAAGGAAAAATGCTTTCTGCCCTATAAATCACGGTCAAAAATTATACGAGCACAAGGTTTACATGTAAACAACAACTGACAAGATATTTTTAAGCGTTTTTACGGTTATTTGCTGACAGGGGTGTAGCCAGCCCATAGACCTGTAAGACGGGACTACAAATTTTTGGTTTGATCACTCTACTGCTTGTAATAAATTATGCGTTGTTGGGGTGAACTAAAAAGCTTAAGAGCTCAAAGTGTTGGTGAGGTCAGTGCGTACTAGTCATGCGTGCAATTTTCAGGATATGTGGAAATGAAAGTCAGCCCGGCCTACAACTAGTCGAAATGCTGGCTACGCCCCTGGCTGAGATAATGTTTTCCCCTTGTATAAAAGCGAAGATTTTGACTTCTCGGCGGGATTGGTAAGACAAACGTTCTTTTTATCAAGGCGCACGTACGAGAATCTTGCATGCAAAATAGCAGAATCAAAATCAAAGTAATGAAATGCTATTTATTTTCTCTCGAAAATCTTCTGCGTTACAAAACTCGCAGATAAGGGACTTGTCAGAAATTAGCTGGGGGGGGGAGGGGGGGTGGAAACAGAGGGAGGGTCACAACTTTTTGAGACTCAGAAAAGGGAGGGGTCATGAAAAATGGGCCTTTAAAATGGGGAGGGTCATGCAAATATATGCCTGTGATCATGTAGAGGTTCACCCACAGAAGAAAAACAAAATTTCTTTATTTCGTAAAAAAAAGAAGAGCAACGGAATATTATGGATATAAACTGTGAAGTACTTAACAAACATCTACTTTTCATTTATAAAAATGCTATAGAGTCTTATTGCAAAAACGAATAATGTTGTTGTTAATGTTATTATAGTTTTGGCTATCCTTTTCATCCCTGTCTTCAGCATCACCATCAGTGCTGCTGTGAGCATCTTGATCATCATCATTTATGTCATCAGCATTTTACTTTGTTTATTCTATCTTATTTTATTAGCTTCGCATTGATACAATCACTTTTATCATCATCATGATTTTCATTTAAGTTGAAGCGTAGATATTGCTTGATAATGTCCTGTGATGTAATATATCAAACATGAGACGCAGTGTTTCATCACCAGATGAAACACCGAGAAGAGAGTTGAAAATACGACGCGCAGCGGAGTATTTTTGACGAACTTCGAGGTGTTTCATCTGGTGATGAAACACTGTGTCGAATGTTTGATATTTCTTCTCAAACAAAATCATTTTTGAAGGAGAAATTAAGGATGCAAATACTGAGCAGTTTTTCATCCGATTTCCAAACACTCATTAAACACTAATTTTCTTTGTATTTTCTTTATGAATTATTAATGAGTTTGAGAATCATTGGTGAACAACCCTTCTCAAAGATATATGGCCTTTGCGTTTTGAGGAACCCACTTTTTCCTTCATAATGAAGAAATAATGGGCCAATAGGCTCTGTAATATCACGCGATTCTTGCCGAGGTGTAATATGGTTTCAATAGCTCCTTTGCAGTTAGCTTCCATTCTTTTTTTTTGCCTAGCTTTCTTTGCTTTGCTTTTATTTTGCTTTGTTTCCTTTTTTTTCTTGTTCATTTGTTTGTCTTGTTGGCTTGGAATCCTGCACCTTAAAGAGCCTGGAACATTTTTCTTTCAATTCTGTAAGGTGGGGAGGGTCATGATATTTTAGACCAAGCTAAAGGGGAGGGTTAGAAAATTTCACTCGCATTGCAGGGGTGGGTCACCTAATTTCCGAACCCAAATTTAAAATTCCCACCCCCCCCCTCCCCCCCTGCTAATTTCTGACAAGTCCCTAACAGTGTATTTTTTGAGGGCGGGAATTTTGTTACGTAATAAAACGAAAGGCGGGAAAATGTCATCACGTGAAAAATCCTCCGAGGTGGTTTTAACCAATCAGTTGCCGCCACGTCACTAGGCTTTGAATGACATCGTTTGTTGTTTTTGTAGTTTGTTCAGTTCGCTCTTCAACAGCAAACTGTTCAGGATGAACTCAAAATTTAATAAGAAAACATCAAGGAAATGTTACCGGCAAAAGACAGAGATTCATCTCTTTTTACTCAGGAATATGCTAAGGAGTTGTTCGAAGCTCAAGGAAACATCATTTATAAGGATATTTCACGAAAGCCCAAAGCTCCGCAGGATTTGATTTGTATGGCGAGTGTTCTGGGAAAATTGAAAACAATCTTATGATATTTACGCGATGAAAATCATGCAATGGACACTTATGCTAGACAGTGGAGAACAGAGAAGTGTTTACCTGTAAAGAAAATTTTTTTGGTGTTGCTTTCAACCGTTGTCTCGAAGATACAATTTTTTTGTACCAACGCTTCACCGAACTGCAAGGACCAGTATTTACCAAAGAAACGCTCAAGAACTAACAAAAGAACAGCTATAACAAAGACTTGTTTGTTTTTTGGACTTTCAAAGGAACTTCACTTGACTTAAACTGTTTTTATAGGAGCCCTGGACGATAAATGTGAAACTGTGAGTTCAATGTGCTTCCTCTTTGCTCATTTGTTTGAATTGAACATGAACTGAACATCTTTCATTTGCTTTTATGATTCTTGTTTCTTACTTTATGAAGAGGTATGAATTAAAATTGATTGAGAAATTAATACTGTGGAAATTATGTGCTTTTGTTTTGCTAAAAGTTCTTGTTTTCACCCAATAATATCATCTTATGGCTGCTTGAAGATACGAAATTTCTCATCTTGTGTTCAACTCCATGTTTTAATATCAGCTAAAGTTACTTGTTCTTAACGTTCTCAGTTAAAACATTTTATGGAGTTAGTTTAATCAGTTGAAAGAAATGAATTTGAAATGATTCTTTGAATCTGCTAAAGTTTGCGATTTGATTTCAAAAACAAATCTCGTGTTTTGTCGAGTATAAAAATGACAAAGAGAGGAAAATGGCGAAAGGCAAGAGCTGAGTAGAAATAAACTGTAAACAAAGACTAAAGAAACAAATTGCGACAAAATTGGAAAACTTACGTGGTAGTCTGACCACAGTTCAATGATGTTTCCGTGCTGCTTGATGGCTGATGTGAGATTCATCACCTGCTGTGGAGTCATCTTTACATCTTCAAGGATTAGTTCCTCCAGGTGAGGAGCGCAGCTGAGATGTTTTATCAAGCTGTCGACTCCTGCACCCAGAAGAGGATTCCATGACATGTCGAGCAACTTCAAGTTTGGAAGATCTTGTTTAAATACTCTGCTTATGAACTCCACAGCAGGTGATGAAGTTAAATTGATAGCACGGAGTATTAATCTCTCCAGTTTGTGTGTTGTTGGGATGCTCCTCAGTAGAGACTCTGTTACCTCAGCATCAAACACTTCACCGTATAGTTCACCCCAAACCAATATCACGTGTGGAGCGGTGAAAAACGTCATCATCTCAATCAGCTGTTCCACTTCTGACCTGTTCACATCATCAGCTTCAATCCTCCGAACCCTGGAGAGACCATGACGCATTGAACAACAGCTGCTGCTGCTCTCTTCACTTGACTCATCGCCATTCATGTTTGTCTTCTTTGTTGTCTCTTCTAAACTAACTAACGTCTTTACCATTTTAAAAGGAAGAGGAGAAATGCCATGATATGTACGTTCTACAATTTTAGTAAAATAAAGGTTAGTGTTGTTTTCTTCTTTCATTAAGAAAAACTCGTCAACACTACGCCATGGAAATACATTCAAAAATTCTGATGCTTTCTGTTCTCCTGTTCTACTAACTATAACAGCGTTTAATTGCTGTACTAAACTAATTAAATTATTATAACTTTGCTCTGTATACTGGTTGCTATCAGAGAAAAATATGTACATAAGTGAAGCGGTAGTTTTAACAAAATTTTCCTTTGCTGCAATATTCAGCTGGTCAGGATTTAAAATGAACAAAACACCTCCTAGATTAGAAAGAAAAGTGGGGAAAAGTTCTGTTCTCGTGTCTGCTGAGCAGTAGAAGAATAACTGTGTACATATAGTTAAAAGATTTTTTTGTGTTTCTGACAAATCTTCGACTGACGGTGCTTGATTGTCGAAGCTGTACTCTCCGTCTTCCTTCGCCGCCATTTCCAACAGATGAATCAAGATCTTGCGCGCGGCTTCTTCTGACATTTCACCAACAAATTTAAAAACTTCATTCAACTTGAAGATCTTTTGAATTGAGTCGGCTTTGAAAAGGGAATTGTTTTTACTTTCTTGAGATAACAGTTCTTCTTTTACAAATTTAGAAGCCAAAAACTCCTGCATGGATTTGTGAATGAAGTGAACGTCTTTGCTGGGGTTAAGAGCGGACACGTTTAGCAGCTGAAACAACCCGGCCTCGATCAGTTTCTCAGTCAAAACGCGATCCGGCAGTATACTGAGAGGAAAGTAAAGTAAATCTTGTAGAAGTGCGTCAAAGGCTAGTTCTCCTACTTTACAGAGTTCTTCTTTGTGGTCGTCAACTTTTTCCACCGGCTTGTTTTGTTTTTCAGACATATGATTAAACATAGTCTGTATGAACTGGTCATAAATCATCACCCGTGATGAAGGTAGTCCTACACGATCCTTTTTCTCCCAAACCAAAGACAGCATTAAAAGTACAATAGGTATCTTTGCTACATCCTCCAGACTTTGTTGTTTCAAGTACCTGAAAAACTCTTCAACATCTTGATCATCTTTCAAGAATCTACGAGCGAACTCTTTTTGTTGCCTACGGTCAAAACCGTCGATCTCAAATTGAGCATCACTGGAACTTTTCAATCTCTCTCCTTTCATGTCTCTAGACGTTACAATAACACAACAATCCCTCAACTGCTTTTTCTCCCAGATTTGAAGAACAGGTGATTGCCTTTCTGCGCTGTGTACGTATTCATCGTAGCCGTCCAAAATAAGCAACACCTTTTCTTGGTGGCGACGAACGTAATCGTACAGGTTGTCAGTGGAAATTGGGCCATCACTCGCAAGAAGATTAGCAGCACTCAGAATGCCTGGGACATCGTCGAGGTCGCAAACATCGCGTAATTTGACCAAAAGTACAAGATCAAATGTTCCTAACTTTCCTTTACATCTGGGCTGGGACCAGTCGAATGTAGCTTTCTGCGTAAAAACGGTCTTGCCGATACCCGGTCGTCCGTGAACCAAAATACGCTTAGGGGTATGACCAAGTCTTCCGCCGTCAAAAATGTCGGTGTAGTGTTTCAGTTCCTTCTGTGTTACTCCGCTGGGCTTCTTCTCATCCATAAGCCAAGACAACTGGGTGTAAATTTCATCGATATGAACGGCAGAGCTTTGATCCCACGGAACGATTTTGACTTTGCTGCTGGTTTCATAAATTGATCGCAGCTGTTTCTGGCACTCCTCGAGGCAGAGAGAATCTGTTAAAGAAAATTTTACGTTCCTTTTTGTTAAAGAATTGTTCGTTTATAACTTGATATCTTAACAGGTGAGGAAAGTTAAAGGGTGGCAGTTGACGCACAAAATATAGGCCCTTATTTATATAAACTGATCAGATCACACCATATAAATAAAATTTCCATATTTAAAAACAAATTATCCTCAACTCATGATACACCAACAGAAATGTAAGTAAGAGTGCATATAGATATCAGGGCTCTAAAACACCAGAATATAGTGTAGGAATATAAATACAACGGTCAAACGTAGAAGGAATGCTCTTTTTTAATTGAGTTTATTAATTGAATTGAATTTATTAATTCATTTATCTATTCTATTTTCTTCTTTTTCACCTGCTAACACACTGACTTTAATTGGATGGGGAACTAACTAGAAAATCTAACAGTTTATTTAGCTTCCCAGCTCGCACTTCTTATTTCTCTTACATTATAAAGTTATAACCTAGCACAAATTTCAGTTATGTAAAGTTAAAAATGTAATTTCACCTAGCTAAATATAGAATTATTAATTATTGAAATTACAATTCTGCAGGGCCCAGTTGTTCGAAGGCCGGTTAGCGCTACCCTAGGGTTAAATTTTAACCCGGGATTCTTTTTCCTTTTATCAAAAGCACTCTCCCGAATAATTTTCTCTATTCTTTTTAGAGTATCCAATCATCAAATTGTAGGCAAAGAGGATGAAACTGAATTTGATTTTTAAGCTCTCAAATCTGAGTTCAAATTTCGCACTAACCCTGAGTTATCTTAACCCAGCTTCGAACAACCCGGCCCTGAATATGGCGGGATGGGCAACCTTGGCTGAGTAACATGTAGATGTAAATATCTTTGAAGACTGCATCAGTAAAGCAAGTGTAAAGGGGTGTTACCCCACAAAGAGAGGTTCAGGGAGGAGACACCGCCAATAGAGGGCTACCTCTCCAAAGCCGTTAGTGACGTTTGTGGTTGAGAGGTAAAAATAATTCTTATTTTTTATGACATGCCTCGAGGACGGTTAACGCAGGTTAAAAATACCTTAGCAAAATTCTAACAGAAAGATTGAATGAAAGAAAGAATTTGACGCTTGAAGTATCACATCATACTTCTTCTTTGCTACTTATTCTTGAAATATAAATAAACAACTACTACAATAAAGATAATTTCGTATTGCAATATAACAAACGACAAAAGTCATTTTCATGTTAAAATAAGCGTTTTTAATCTACTGTATGTCTACCACTTCTGCTTTATTACATATAATAGTACCTGGTAACTCCTTGTTGGCCACAGAGCTAGAGGGCTGCTTCCTTGCTGACAGGTCTGTGAGTTAAACAAAATAGAATTAAAACTGAAGTGAGACATTTAAAACAACAGTTATTCAAAAGTATTTGGGGAAAATGTTTATCAATCTGACATCTTAGGTTCTGGGTGTGAATAAAAAAGCACTGAGCAGCTTGTCTTGGGACTGGAAGCTTACATCTTAGCTTTTACATAATTGAGGGTCATACTGACATTTTAATTCACTAAATGATGTCTGGTTCCAGTGTGCTCAGTTTTAGACAATAAATTTATCTTTTAAACTTGGTTATGCGGGATTTCTGCTGCACACTAAGTTGATTCTGAAAGGCATCTAGTAAGCAGTTGCACTTATAAACATTTTCAAAACAGGAAGAAAAAAATATTTCTTGGGCCTTTCAAAACCACAGCAATGAACCAATCAGAGGGTAGATTTCTAGAATGATCTAAAACCAGAAAATAAAGCCAGCAGAGCAGAGAGTTTCTTTTATGGGTTAGGGTTCAGGGCTGTCACTATGGTTTCAAGTTTCAGAGCAGGGAATAGAACATCCTGGAAATTCTTTCGGTCCTATTTCCTTTTATTTCCTATGAATAAAGTAACCAGGCGTCATGCTCATAGCAGCCAGGGGAAATCCACGCCTCCCAGCCCTTAGTGACAACCCTGTAATGTTGGTTGCTAATGTCCTCAGGGAGTGGGGGGAAGGGGGAGGAGAAGGAGATACTACCCTATTAAACAACTGAGGTGCTAGTCAAATAAAAAAATTCAATCTTGCTTTGAGGGCATGGAAGGAATTCATTTTAACCCCTACGAGGTAACAAAACGAGAAGGAGATACTCCCCTTTAAGAATAGCCGGGATGCTTTACAAAAATGGGGTGCAAAGAAAATCATTTTTACAGCTTGCCATTTGGGCAAGTTGAAGCTAGCATTTACTAGCCCAGACGTCATTTCAACTAGCCCCAAAAGCTTTTTGACGAACAGAATTACTTTCACAGTTCTTCTGCGATTCAAATTCCTCAAAAAAACATCAATTGCCAGTCGGGCAAGTTAAAAACAGAATTCACCAGCCCGATAGCAAAATCCACTAGCCCCGGGCAATCGGACACTACTTTCTTTGCATGCTGAAAAGACAGGGGTGCTTATCAAAAAAATAATGAAAATAAATAAAAATAAAAAGCATCCCTGGAAGGTAGCAGAATCTTGGTTTGTCTGTATGGCAGAAATTCAGTTTAACCCCTGGGAGATAATAAAAAGGAGGAAATAACCCCCCTATAAAAATAAACAGGCTGCTTAAAAAACAAACAAACAAACAAAATAATAATAATTAGACCCTTGTTTAATTAAACAAGGGTCATTTTAGACTTTAGGTCCCTAAGTATGCACTTAGAATTCCAAAACACTTCCCAGAATTCAAAACATGTCTCAGAATTCAAAAACACTTGCCAGAACCTAAAACATGTCCCAGAATCCAAAAACACTTGCCAGAATCCAAAGCATGTCCCAGAACCCAAAAACACTTGCCAGAATCCAAAACAAGTCCTAGCCTGAGATAACAGCTGACATTTTGCAACGCCACCACTGGTTTCCCGGCCAAATGACGTTCGAGAAACGAGCGCAGAAATTCCATACTGATGACGTGTCACTACCCAGATCTGGGTGGTGTTTCTGATTGGTCGTGCTGTGTGGGAAATTTGATTCAACCAATCAGAAGCATTTCAGTTTCTCAGACGTCATTTCGCAGGGAAACCAGTGGTAGCTTCGCGAAATGTCGGCTGTTTTCTCAGGCTAAACACGTCCCAGAATCCAAAACACGTCCGGGATGCCTTTGGATTCTTGAATGTGGTTTTGGTTTTGGGAAAGTGTTTTGGATTCTGGGAAGTGTTTCTGGGTTCTGAGACGTGTTTTGGATTCTGGGGAAGTGTTTTTGGATTCTGGGATGTGTTTTGGATTCTGGGAAGTGTTTTTGGATTTTGGGACGTGTTTTACATTCTGGGAAGTGTTTTCGAGCCACCGTAGCTCTCAAATCACCAACACGGCAATTCACTCACTGAGCGCTGTTTGCCGTGAAATGCGCGGTCGTCACCTTTAGTTCGGATTGCTCAAAATTTCTTTACTGCTGGCTCTGATTACACCACACCCAGACCAGCATTGTCAAAACATTTTCAGCTTGATTTACAAAAACGTCATGATTCCTTATGTTTTATATCTTTTAGAAAAATGGTTTGCAATGTATCTTGAACTGGCTCTGAGTACAAAACTATGCACAACTTCATTGTTCTAGAGCTCGCCCTGTGATTGGCTAATTTCAAAATTTATCTCAAAATTTTTTCGCTGGCCTCGGGCTCGGTTCGTGTAGTCCCACTGTAAAACCACTAACAATAGAGAGTAGAAGTCGTTACGTCACGTTGCTATGGTAGCAAAATTTTTGGATGACAACAAACTGAAAAGAGAATTCGCATTGTTTCAAACTTCATCGATCTTATTCAATTTCATTTAATTTTTCAAAAGTTGGCGAAATCTTCTGGGGTTGAATCCAAAAGGACCGTATCTAAGTTTAGAAAAAAAGAAAACAACAATTTTTGTACTGTGTCGGAAAAATTGTCGGCAAAAAGAGCCTATGATGTCAATGATGGTTAGGTGAAAAAAAAGCGGGAAATTAAAAAACAGTGTTTTCCTAGTGGACTTGGTGCAGAAATTATGGTTGTTTGTGCACCTGGAAAGAAAGAGCAGTTTGTCTTCAAAAGTTGCAAGCTTTGGTTATAACCTTCTTATTATTTAATTTTCTCGAAGAATAGAATACATCATAGAACGGACTTTAACGACATTAATTTCCTTGCGTTATACTGGATATGCGAATGAGTAGGTCTAATTTTTTCCAAGATGCATTGACAAAATGTGTTCATATTAGTAAGTTCCTGGATATAAAAGGTCCGGAACTCCACTGTAGACACAAAAACAAAATATCTTTGTACAGTGATTTGCCCAAAGAAATTCACGCTTGCCCACAATGTGTTTGAAGTCTTTGAACTTTGTCGCACTCGAGTTGATATTTTAAAACCCACTCTTGATTGGACACTTGTAGCTTCGCAGATCACTAAAATATAAACAAAATCCTCAATGTAGAAGTTTTGGCGTTGATAAGTGGGTAAAACAAGGGTTATCTTTATCTAGTATAATCTTTCCCAAAATCGGTTTCAAGCAACTATAGTTTTTTAGCGGATCTCCAAGCACGCGAAGCGCGCTCGTGTGGAGCCCCATAGCTAAGTAAATCTATCATCCCAGAAAATTTGGTAATCACTTCAACGTACACAGAGCGATCGAGCGAGCGATGGACTGTCCGTACCACAGGCATACCACTGTAAAATAACGCAATCAATAGGTCTGAAAATCCAACACTAGGAACTTAAAGTTTGGTGTTTAGCAAACAATCTCCGTAAGAAGTAAAAAATTCTGTATGTTTGAACTTGACTGAAACGAAAATATATTTCAAACCTTAAATTTTCAATAGCCGTGATAGATTATTTAATAAAAACGTTATATATGACTCAAATTATTCTTAAGTAGCGTCAGAATGCTGCTTAATATCATATTTTGATGATAGGAAATTTTGGTGTACTTTCGTTCTTGCGATCTTGAAAACTAACCCGTTTTCTCAGCACCTGTATAAGTGCAACTTCATTCAGAATTTGGACTTTTAGTGCTTTCTTGTATCTCCCCAAAATGACTCTAACGAAACTTTTTTAAAATTTCCTATCATCAAAATATGATATTAAGCAGGATTCTGACGCTACTTAAGAATAATTTGAGCCATATAATCTAGCACGGCTATTGAAAATTTAAGGTTTGAAATATATTTTCCTTTCAGTCGAATTCAAACATACAGAACTTTTTACTTCTTTCGGAGATTGTTTGCTTAAACCCAAACTTTAAGTTCCTAGTGCTGGATTTTCAGTAGCAGGTCTAGATCACACAAAATTCGGCTTTTATCAATTTCAAAGTTTTTTGTTTATTGTTGTCATAGTAGTATCGATTTTACTTAAAACTACATTTTCACAAATTTAAAATATTATTGTTATGGTTCAGCAAATATGAATTCCCTGCTCCGGAAGCACTAGCTAAGATCGCTTATGATGTAGATTTTGCAGTATACTGATTCGGCCCGATTACAAGCAGCCGCTGTCAGGCAAACATTGATACTTTTAATGCAAGTTTAACATAGAGGGATTTTCCCTTCAATATAAACACGCTTGTGTAGAACTCAAGATCATAAATTTTCATTAGCGATTGGTGTCGTCGGTTAAACTGCGATAACGCAAGTTTTCGCTTTCACCTCTGGTAAAATAATCAACTTGTTTGTCTAGTGGAAGTTCTGTTTGGGTAGAAATTTCCCATGGTTTCAGTTATAGTTGTAGGGTTAGCAAATCTACCTTGCTCTTGCGGAACCTTGCGATCATTGGGTGAACGAGACACAAAATTGTGATAGAAAGGACTCCTCCCTCAGAATTAATTTTGTTTTGGAGCCACGTGACCAGACCCAACAAGGGTCTCTCTCTCTCTTGCTCCATAGGGACGGGTAGGAGAGAACCCTGGGAACGAGGTTGAGGCTAAGGCTCTTACACCTGCGGACAATGAAGAAGTGAATTTTCTGTACAAAAACAACCCACTTAAAGATCTTAAAAGCAAAAGATCATTTGCAAGCTCCGCAACCAAGCTACGATTCACCATTAAATTTTAGCTATTTTTAATAACTGGTTCATGCGAGGGACTTCATTCAAGCAAATTACACTCAGCAAACTGAATCATTAGAAAGTACAGAAAACGGCACATAAGGGTTTGTTTTGCTCACTTCAGTCAAATCCAGCTCCTGCAATTGCTTACGGGCAAAGAGTCAGTCTATTGTTTTGAAGTCAATGCCGGCAGTTGTCGTTCTGAGCTACTTCACAGCAGTTGAAAAGAAAAATTTGCGTACAGAATGAAAACAAAAATATGTAATTAAAAATGAAAAAACGAAAAAGCTCTGACTATTATTACATGAGCAACAGAAAAATGATCGAAGTAGTCTTTTCTTCTCGAGCAAGCTTGCTGGCCTTCTGATTTCCGAGAAAGTTTTAAGCGCGCAAGTTTGTTCACTCGCATGCGTTTATAGCATTACGGTTCTTTGATTGAAGACAAGGACGACGCTGGCTCTGCAGAGGTACGTAAATCTGGGCATAGGGGCATGTAAAAAAGTAACTGCAACTACTAATAACAGAATACAAGTGGGTTTTAATTCAGCCCGGCGAAAGAAGGCGAAGTTCTGGACACAAAATCAACTCACAAATTGAATGCACAATTGTCAGAAAGATGCTCGCCTCTTTGGAAATGTTCCGCAAAACATTTTATTCCACCTAAGACTGGCGGAATGATCCGTTTTTAATCTAACATTGGTTGTTCTGAATCCAAACTAATTTTCAAGTGACAAAAAAACAACAACGACAACAAAAACAAATAAAAAGGCTTTACAAGGAGCAAACGTTCGCACCTCGTATTTCATTCAGTCTCAGTCATAACTCTCACAAAACAGCACAGAACGACACAAACAAACACAGTCAGCCACAGGCGGACCATCCGAACTGTTCGAGGGATCGTGATGTCAAGTGCGACATGTGATCCCATACATTTACTGTATTTCGTAAGCCCGCACTCGGCTTGATTCAACTGATCGGTAGAAATGCTTCATAAAACACAGAATTTTGCATCTTTTATTCTCAAACTCATTAATAATTCATTAAGAAAATACAAGGAAATTAATGTTTAATGAGTGTTTGGAAATCGGATGAAACACTGCTTAGTATTTGCATCCTTAATTTCTCCTTCAAAAATGATTTTGTTTGAGAAGAAATATCAAACATTCGACACAGTGTTTCATAACCAGATGAAACACCTCGAAGTTCGTCAAAAATACTCCGCTGCGCGTCGTATTTTCAACTCTCATGTTTGATATATTACATCCCAAATGTTAATATAATGTAAGAAAAATGAATAAAGATAACTAACCGTATGTTTTTAGTGTCATGTTCTGCGATTTTGTGGTGTTTTCAGTCACTTGAAACTGACACCCCCGACTAATACATAATAACACGACAAGGCATGCATATTCGGCAACCGGCCACAGCACAACGGCATGACGAGTAAACACAAAGATTACTAAAGATTATTTCGTGGTCATTCTGCTCTAATCTCAGGTTATATTCAAATTTTTGATGCCAAGCGAAAGGCGACTTACAGCAAAAAAAATAATCATGATATTATGACCTGCATCAGCCGCTTCCAACTGTCATTTTCGGCGGGTACAACGTGGGCTGTGGGGAGGTGACAAGGGTTAATTGTCGTAAATTTGAATTTTATACGGCCGTTAAGATCGACCACTTTGGTGCACATCCAATGACGATGGCGATTTTGGGGCGCATGTGAAAATTCGCGGCGTCACTTTAGGTCATTAGAGGCAAGCAATCTCAACCATTTTTGACATCGACCTTCGCAAACTATCTGGCTTTGATTTTCCGGAGGCTGGGTAGCGAGGGACGTGTGGAAGTGGGAGAAAATGGGCAAAATTCAGAAGGCATTGTGCTGCAGCCAGCGACAGAACTTGGAAGCCTTGTAGTTTTATTACGTAAAATCTTTACCCAAATCTTGCTTAGGATGGTTCCTTTTAGTGTTTGGTGAAGGTAAAGCGACAAAAGAAAATATTTCCCTTTTTGGTTCATTTGACCCTTAAGCTCCCCATTGTTGTGATCCAAACATTTTTCTACCATGGTAACGTGACGTCACACTTCTCCTCTCTATTAATTGCTTTTTTAGTCCTTGTTTACTATTAACTGAATCACGGGGCAGAGAGGACTTACGTTTGACCTTGTTTAATAATTATTGCAGTTTAAAAATATTGGTTGCGGTATATTAGGGAGGGAGGGGGAGGGGGTGATCGAAATGTGCAAAGCGAAGTTGAATATAATTATATTTGTTAGCTTCACCCTAGAAGAGAAGTTAGTTTCAAGTAAGCACTTCATTCAAGTGCACTTGTTCTAAACTTAACCAAAAAAACGATTAAAAGGAATTAAAGAACCAAAAAACTTAACCCCCAAAACATAAAGAAAAGAGAGTACTATCTTTGGTTTACACACAAAGACAACCTGATTAGCTTTGAGTAGACAAAAACTGGTGTACAGAGAGCCTATGGCCCAATGCCGAGCTGAAGTTGACAGATCGAAGTCTACACTAGTACTGATGGCTGAGAAAACCTAATTGATATACTTAACAAAGAAAAGACACGCACACAAAACCTAGCGATAAAGGCAGTTTGCCCAGCGGAAATAGCAGCCAACGGCTGGTCCAACACGGTGGATTAAATTAAGCGAGGTAAAAGGCTTATATTTCCCACGCGACCTTGTATTTCATTTGAAGAACTTTTTCAACAATTTCTTTGTGACTTGAGCACAAAAGAATTTTTGTTTATCTCTTTGTAGAAAATTTGCTCGTGACTTGAGTGCATAGGGAGTTCGCATATGGAATGCGCTTATCTGTTAAAGAATTCAACAGAAAATACATGAAACTCACAAAATTTGACATCCTAGTGAACGAAACTATTCATTTGTTCACTTCAATAAGAGATAGCAATAGTTTCACGGGTCGTGCAAAAATTTTGGAAGTTCCGGAGGGGTGAGGGGGGTGAATTTTGAGGGCCGATTTAGGAAAATCCAGAAGGGAGGGGGGTCATACGGCAAATCCCTTTTGTGGGGGTGGTATGGCTATTTTCTGGAACCACACAATTACAAAAAGAGCTCAGCATTGCGTTTTACCCTGATTTACATGTTTTCGTGTTTTTCGAAATTGCGGAAGTCTACTCGCGTTTAGCCGGTTGTAGAGTGTATGAGGGTCATTTGCAAAACGAACGAGTGATAAAAACTTTTCAGAAACATGCAAAAAGTAGCAAATTTGTCTGCATTGACTCCAGTCTTCAGTTTACCTTCTTGTCGATTTTTGTGAAACTTCGCACAACAGAAGACAAGCACCCAAAGTATAGGAAACATCAAGATTTCTAAAGAAAATGCCGATTAGGGGTGCAATAGACCTATTCAGCTAACTCAATGTTGTACCCAATTCAAACCCTTTGGGAATAAAACGTTTTGTTTCAGGAATTTCCATATCATTTAAATGTGAATGCCACATTATAATGCAAATGCAATACACAAAGAATCTTATCCCCGGGAGATTTGAATTGGGTACAACATTGAGTTAACCGAATAGGTCTATTCGATTTAGAGCTCAAACTATTGTGACGTCATTGTCACGTGATATATATTTTTTGATCAACCCCAAAATAATGTCATGATAAAGTTAAGTCTATGTGTAATACATGTGTTTACAATAGTTTTACAAAAAAGATAGATTTGTTTAAGTCAAAGAGATTCAAAGATGGAAGGTCTACCTACAAAAAGACTGGGTCGAGCCACCTTCAGAACAGTGAAATCAAAACCACCCACAATACCTTTGGGGACTGTCGCGTGCACTTTTTCTGACAACCTTTCTCGAAATAGTTGTATATTTTTTGGGAACTTTGAACTCAAAGGGTTTTGACCCTAACAGACATGCTTACGTACTTCGCTTTTTACAAGTACTTAGCAGTGTCATAGAAAAAAAAACACAAGCGAAGTCTTCCTCTGTATTTCTTTAGAACGGCACAAACAACGCGCTCTTTGGCAAAGAAATCGCCGAAGAGCTTTGGGCTTGGACTCTTCCGCAATGCTCTTAGCTAAGACGTGTTGAATGTTTATCTGTCCGTTCATAGTGTATACCCGATACTTGGCGGCGAACTTCGGCTTCATTTAACTACAATCGTTTCCATGATCACCAAGTAAAGTTGAAGTTGGCACAAATTACCTCTTCACACTCAAAGTAGGTTCCAGGTACACTTACATTATGCACGCAAGCTCTAGTGTGAAGCCAACAATTGTCTCTCTCACTGAGGTGGTTATAACTATAGAAAGCGAGAAAGCCAAAGCCAATTTACGGCAAATCTCAGTGAAAAGTTAAGAACGCATCAGTAAGTGTACGCCAAGACGAAAAAACAAGAGAGCGCAACATGCTGCCAATTATCAATGTCTTAAATTGCAATTGAAGTTTTGAACAATTGTTAAAGTATGATAACGCTTTTTTGAGCACAGAACACCCCTTCAAGGGCAATATTATTGTACTGATTGTAATAAAAGTTTTTCGGGATAGGAGAAATTACCTGCGCGGTGCTCGTCCATACCTTCCGTCCGCTGAGAAGTTTTGCAGGCAGATGAAAACATTCTGCCTGTTGTTTCTGAGGAGCTCGCAACATTTGTAGAATCATCTGTTAAAGATAAAACAAATGGAACCGGGCTTTTACGGTAAATATGGACACAAGAGATAACTATAAAAGTGAGCTGTGGATGAAGCATATGACAGATGGTAATGAATTAAAAATCTTACAACAATATCTAATGGGAAACAGTTTTCCACGCATTGCTATCCTGAAGCTTGGAAAAGGCTGAATAGTCACCAACATTTCTATTACGATTTCAGGCTATAAGTGTGTCTGCTTAGTTTAGTTTTATTTTATTTTATTTTCAGATTTTGTTTTTCTTTTGTTTTGTTTGTTTGATTGTTTGTTTTTCGATAATTTTCTATTAGTTTCTTCAATTTAATTTTAATCACGAAGAGAGTATAATTGTTACAGAAAAATCAAAGCAAAAAAACGAACAAACAAAAAACGAAACATAAAAGAAAACAGACATTCCTACCTTGGATCCAGCTGATCATCTTCTCAATAAGATCGTTTATCTGCTTGGCCCAGTTGTATCTCCTTCCGTAAGAATAACGCAAGGTTTCCGCTTCCTCAAGTCGGTTTTTCCTGTCCTTAGCCCAGACTTTCTTAATGGCTGAGGTCCACTCTGCAGGGTCCTCTGTGTTAATCACAGAGCTTGAACCAAAGGGTACACTGCACAGGGTTTCTCCAAAACCAGAGTTTTGGCTGACAAGCACAGGAAGACCAGCTGACAGGGCCTCAAGTCCTGTTAACCCAAAGCCTTCTGTTCTTGAAGGCATGACTACAAGATCTGCTTCTTGAAACAAGCGTTTCAAACTCTCTCGGTCTGGTAGAAATCCCCTTACTCTCAAGCGACTTGCAGGAACACCACATTCGGTCAACCGGTTTGCTATTTCTTCGTGTTTCCCATCTGGAGCTCCAACAAACACAAGACGGGTATCTTCTAATTCAGCGACCGCTTTCCCAGCGATGTCAAATCCTTTCAGTTTGAAATCCTCTATGTCTCCACGACCAAACACCAAGACACTGTGTTGTTGCCTTTCGCTAGGAGCCTGTTTCACAGCCGCAAACTCTTCAAATACTCCCGGAGTGAAGTCAACAACATTGTCATCTTTTTGGCAGCTGCGAAGATAGGAGCGAAAGGCCTCGCTCAACTTGGGGCCAACCCCAACAACATGATCCGCCATTTCACACAGTTTTATTTCTGTCTTTTGTTTTTCTTCGCCCTTTGAAATTGCGTCTGAATAGTTTTTAAACATTCCAAGTTCTTCTGGATCTGTGTGCACCACTTGAACCCATTTGCACCGTTTAGATTTTTTAATGATTTGTGCCTGTTTACCGAGTTTAGCGCCATGACCTATGATAATGTCGATTTGCAAATCTTCAGGCGGAAAGCAAAGCCAGTCCAGTTGTTCAAAGCCAGGCAGTGGTGCTGCCTCAACGATCTTTACATTATGCTTTAGGGCTAACTTCTTGTCGTCTTGACTGCATTGCGGTAAAAAGAAAGAGACTTCCACTTCAGGACATTTGGCTAACTGAATGGCCAACTCCCTGTTGATGGTGGAAAGCCCTCCTTTGCTTGATCCCCATTCAGAAGCCAAAAAAGTCACTCTTACTCGGTGGGTTTTATCTACTCTATCATCACGTGATTCAGATTTCCATAAAGAAGATGCCATAGCCAAATAGCAAGATTTTTAAACATCTAAAATGTAAAAATATACAGTTACTTTAGTAGCCAGTGGGATACAAATAGACATACCCTCAAGTCAAACACGTTTGTTAAAAATGTTTTTTTCTGGCTCCAAGGGCTCGATTATTCTAAGAAGGCTTATTGCTAACACAGAATCAGTATATTTATGTTTGCTAATAATTTGGTAGTCTTTGGGGGCCTGGTTATGCCATAGAGTTTTGAAAACTCTGACAAACTACAGTGTGGGTGGGTGGGCAGAACCCAGATGGAACTACTTGCCTTGCTAAGCGTGCCATGGTTTTTATGTAGTGGGTAAAATTTACCTGTGTCGCAGGCACTCCTGCTTAAACCTTAACGCGATACGTGGGCCGACTGCAACACAGGCTATTTTAAATCAGATTTAACCTAGTTTGGTTCAAATTTCCTTTGTTTCCTAGCACTAATTGTTCATAGGAGACAAAAGAAATTCTCGCGGTTTACAAAATGAGCACGGATTTTGCCTGCAACATTTGTACAAATCACTTTACAGGGTTGGCGTAGGATAGAAATTCAATTTAGTGCCTCTTCACATGATCGCGCCCGGTTGACCGGACTGTCCCGGTTACCAGGACCAATTTCGCCTTGAGTTCATATGAGAAATTCCAGCCTGGTTTTGAGATGAGAAAAGGCCGTAGATTCTAGGGACGAGTTCTGGTACAAAATCCGAGAAACAAACCAAACTAAGGGTGAAACACAAAAATTATTATTCTATAGCTTTGGCAACTGCAGTCAAATGGGATACTTATGATGTGAAAAATACAGCGGGCAAAGCAAGATGATGCCATCCGGGCAGCCCTATTGCAGAAGAATTTATCCCACTCTAGATCTCATCCTGGTAACTGGGCTCAGTAGAGTGTTCATACAGCGCAACTTTCCACCCACTTACCAAGATCCCGATTGGAAAAAGCAAGATCTCGGGAATCGAGCCAGCCTGTCCCTTCATATGAACACATCGAAAATTTTACACGGGATTTAGAGGTGGTAACTGTGAAATCTCGGAAACCAGGCTCATGTGTGAAAAGACCCTCAGGGAGCTCATGGGTTCGATCTCCAAGACCTGGGCCAATATTGGGGTCTTGAAATAACTGCGAAATGAAGGTATTGTCTTGCAAGTAGCTAGACCTTTTCGTGGCTCGAATAAAAAACATAAAAGGGCGGTCCCGCTACAGGTTGAGATGTGTAGTTTTTGAACAACAGGTACTTGATATCAAGTGAAATGAACAGCAAAAATTAAAACTTGATTGGAAGGGATCTACATTGTGAGTCAGTCATAGGATAAACAGGGGTCCCCAGGCCCCAGGCCCTTTATTTAAAAGAATACTACACACTTGAAACTGTTGGCCACGACTATAGTATGCCTGGTTCAGATGCTGAACTTTTCATCAGCCAAACATAATTCGAATTAAGGCCGACCCAAACTATTTGGACCATACGAATTGATTCAGACGCCGATCTTAATTCCAGCCCAACTAAATTCAAAAGGAGAAAAATGCTCATTTTGGTCTGAACTGATTGCAAAATACGTTCGCCGAACTTTTCATGTACTTAATTCAATGTATTAGGTTTGGCTCAGGGAAATATCGGCATCTAAACCAGGCTAAGTAGTGAACGTAAAGCCATCATCAACTACATTTTATTAGTAAAATCCAACTAGTGGTCTATTATCATTTCTGCGTTCTGATTGGTTGAGCTACTACTAGGCTATATGTTATGGCGGCTGAATCACGTTGTGCCTGCTAAAGTTGTTTTGTCTCTATATTTTTGACCAACTAGTTGGATTTTACTAAAACAACTATCCCTCTCGCCCTCATGGACTCTACTTTTCTCCTTTTATGTTACAGACGTCTTAACTTCTTCACCGGAAGTCTGCTAGGTGCATGACCCAATGGCTGTAATCCAATTGGATTATAATTTTCATCAAAATTGCGCACTACGAGATCTCATGAATTCCACTGCCTTTATTTCGTCTACAACAACACTTTCCTTATGTACAGTTAACTCCACACATATGGTTGTCCAAAAGGGACAACATATCAAGATTTATTTATATACATCAAGACTTACTTATCTACATCAAGATTTATTTATATATACCAAGATTTATTTATATAAATCCAGATATATTCATATACATTGAGATTTCCTTATATATATCAAGATTTCTTTATCTATATCAAATCTCATGGATTTCAGAACCGTTTCTTTAATACATCAACAAACTTAAAAGGTCTTTATGCATGTTATAGGTAAGTTATCCAAGTACAATGATGAAAGGAGGGTTGTCCAAGACTCACAAATAGACTCCATCAGCATTACTGGTGATAAGAAGGGTGTCCATTGGTACCAATGGTAGGACTGGTACCAACAGAAAATCACGTCATTCCAATACTTCTATTGGTTAGTATGCATCTCATTAAGGGGACTTAGATTATTTTCCCATGTGGCTTGGCTGGGTACAGGGCAATTCCGATAGTCCATTGATACCAATGGTTCGATTGGTACCAACAGAAAATGATGTCATTCCAGTGGTTCTATTGGTAAATATGCATCTCATTAAGGGGACTTAGATTATATTGGACATGTGTATGAACCACTCTTTAAGCTTGGCTGTCCAATGGAATACATGGGTCAGGAACTGAAGCCAGCCACAGTACGTTGTTGACAAGGATCTTGTTGAATGGCAGCGCAAAGAGCCTTTAAGTGGGTTTATATCACAGAAATTACATGATTTGATGATGTAATGAATTTGAAATCAGTCCAAATTGAAGACTGTGATTTGGAAGGGCACGCTCACAGTCGGAGGCTACTGTCACGGAGGGATCTTGCTCGATTAAGCTCATAGTGCCTGTTAAATCCTTCAATTGCTTCATATAGGGTTCTCTTAGAGATGCTCCAAGAAATTGTTCGAGATTTGGTTTAACATACACCATTTTGTGAGGCTCTTGAAGCAAAGTATTAACCAGGCAAACCAATTTGACTTGGTACTTCATGTAAGCCTATCATAACCTTGATGTATATGGGTCTTGATGTAAACTAATCTTGACACTGATATATGAAACTTGATGCTTATAATAAATCTTTATATACATAAATAATTAACAATTATTCCTCGAGCCCAAATGGGCTATGAGTCAATAGCCCATGAGGCCGAAGCTATTGACTCAGAGGCCATGAGGGTGAGAGGAATAATTGTTTTAGTAAAATCCAACTAGTTGGTAAAAAATATCGAGAATAAAAAAATTTTAGCTAGTTAAAGCTAGACTTTAATCCTTTTTTGCCACCAAAAAGCCTGCCCTTTTCGCTACTAGTGGACTATAACATATAGCCTAGTAGCAGCTCAACCAATCAGAATGCAGCATTGATAATAGACCAATAGTTGGATTTTACTAAATCTTGATATAGATAGATATATATATATATAAATTTTGATGTTTATAAATACATCTTGATACATATAAGTAAATTTTGATGTATATATAAGTAAATCTTGATGTATATAAATAATTCTTGATGTATATAAATAAATCTTGATATATTGTCCCTTTTGGACAAGCATATCTCCCTCTGCCGAATGTAAATACATATAACATATGGTGGCAAGGTCTTAAAAATTTAATGGAGATGACCAAAGTCCCTTAAGACATCCTAACAGATTTATAGTTTTTTTTGGCAGCTCCAAATTACACCAAACAGGCTTCTAACACTTATAGAAAACCATTTGATACACTTTTGACGTGTTTAGAAACATTGAGTCATTGGATGCCCCTGTCAAGAGCAGTAAAAATCCCCTCCCCATGCCCCATGCCCTGCCTCCCCCCTGTCAGCTTTACACTGATAGGTGCATTTTGAATAAAAAAAGAGAAAGGTGGTCCTTTTTCAACTTTCTCGAGGGTGGGGACATTTTGGCCACAAAACGGACATGTTTGTCTCAGTGAGTAGGGAATTTGAATGACAAGTGTGAAAAGGTGCGCATTAACTGGTTTTTTAACACCTTCTGTCCAATAATTCACATAAATTGTAGCAAGGAAAAGTATATAGAAAATGGACATTTATGGATTCACAGTAAGCAAAAACAGCTGCGTTTACTGAGGTCTAGAAGCTTACCTAACGTTGATTCAGTGTAGAGCATTGTTCAGTTATAAAGATGCTTCAAAAGCCTGGAATAAACAATAACCACATTGATCAACCTTTATAGATGAAGCATTATCTTTTACCATTACCTTTTGAACGCAATTAAGCTAAACAACTGAAAAAACAGCAAACTGACCTCGTAATTCGCTGCTACAAGAAGAAGCTGCCAGGAATCTTGTCACCGTCACATGCACTTTCAATCTTAGGTCCCAGTATTTTGCTCGGTCGATCTGCAAAAATAATTGGAATGTCGATTAGGGAAAACTGAATGAGGAAATTGGATCGAATTTATCGGGAGAGGCGAGAAATAGGTTAGTACAATTTCTATGGTATCAAGAAGTGTAGTGTAAAAGCTATAACTTTTTATCTTGATATTATATATGAGACCTTGAGATGCTTTTTTGAAGCGTGTAAGTCATAAACTTTATATCACAATTTACTGAAAGTCAGTATCATTATGGGCAACTTTTCATCTTTTTTTTGTTCTTGTTGTCATCGTTGTATGTATACTTATATACCAGACTAATACCATTTCAAGTCTCCAGACAGATCTTAAACAAAAAAAGCAACGTACACTGTCTTTCACAGTTTCACCGAGAAATCATGATCTAACGAGTCTAATCACATGCCCACAGATGGGGTCGAGAAAATAAACAGTCCTACAATTATTATGTCAAACAAAAGCAGCTCGTAAACTAGTTCTTAGTGTTCTAAAATATTGATCATTAAAATCTCAGTAGTAAGAGCCTATAGCATTCAGCGCGCGATTCACAGCAAGTCATGAAATTACTGCAATTTCAATCCAGGAGTTAAGCGATACTCAAGTTCCCTTGAACTCTCGAACAATCCAACTGAATATGAAAAACTCAACATACCTCCGTGGAAAGTGTGATGATGATAAATACAAGTGTCTCCCAGGATAAACGAAAAGCTTTTTACCCAATACACGTAGAAATGTCTCAGAGACAGTAAAACTGCGAGGAGAGTGATGAGTTTATCATACGGCAAAATCACGCGATCTTAACGCTTCGATTAGAACATGCAGTTACATCCTAAATTCTTGTATTTTTTAAAATAACGTATTTTTAACAACGTCAGGAAAGACTGATTTTTTTTGACAGAGCAGAAAAAAGAAGACGAGATAAATTATAAGCGTCCGAGATTTTAATACCAACCTTTAATAGTGGTGAGTTATGAAACAGTTAATTACTTCAGTTTAGTCCCTTGTCCAGCTCTGTTAATAAAAACCATTGACAACATAGAGCTATATCAAACTGAATGCAAACACTAAATTAAATTTAAACTGACTCTCCATCGGAAATAATGAAATCTCACACGGGAAAGAGCCTCTGATCATTTTTTAGGGTTTCGCAATTTCATTAATTATAACACAACAAACGAACAAACAAGTTTTGCATTTGTGGGCTTAAATCTTAGTTAAACATGTTAAATATGACTGATATCTGAGCCTTCCGTAAAATTTAGCCCTATGGCGGAATTTTATGGATCATGTGTGTATAGAAAACACTGAACGCGTCATATTGACTCTTCTTATGATTTTCTTCACTTATAAGCTGCTCATAAAATGGGTAAGTTAACCTTTCCGATCAAAAATCTACAGCTGAAGGTCATGTTGATAAGTACAAACCTCTTGACTTTCCAGGAGCAAATGTCTAATGTAGAGAAAAAAAGGACAGTAGAACTGATAAGTAAAGATAAGTAAGGTCTCGAGGGGTACAGTCATATATGAGCTGAATTCTATGAGGAAAATTAATCCTCAGTTTATCATTTTTTATGCAGAGATCGCACAAATTCGCAACGAGAAATTATATAAATAGTCTTTCCTGAGTTCCTCGGCAAATAGTTCTAACTCAGTTCATGAACAATCTAATTAGTTTAAAATCCTAACAAACCTGTAGATGATCTCCGATGTAGCTAAACGGCTTCGACAAGCTCCGACAGTGGCTGAATAAAAATGCAAGCTACTTTAATTCACACTCACTGCCCTGTCGAAAAACAAAAAAAGATTGACCATGATTCAAAGATAATCAGCAGAGCTTTGTGTGAACAGAGTCATGTCAGTGTTTAGAGACATTTGTAAAAACGGACTAATCTACCAAGAGTACCTGAGTCCAGAATTTGCAAAGTAAGGAATTCACTGAATTAAGTAACCCCTAAGTGAACATTACTTTTAACCACCCTCATGTTGTCACATTGCTGTATTTTATTTGCAACACAGTTGATCAGAGACCATTGATATATGTTTTTATTAAAAGAAGTTGCAGCTTTGTTGATTTTTGATGATTTGCGTTTAGAAGGAAACAAAAGTCTGTTTAAGACTGAGAAAATCATATAAACTTTTCCAAAGCTTTGGACGTTCACGACGGTCACCGATCCGCTTCAGCTGCTAATTTTATTAAGTGTACTGATCATCGTTTCACAGAAAAATCCCTTTGCAAGTTGAAGTTATTGACTGTTCGAGAAGAAGCATCCTAGAAAGGTTCATGCAGTGTTGACTCAATATAACAGAATTAGTTTTGTATCAGAAGCTTGCAAGTTTGTTAAAACCTTCATTTCCTTATCATTAATGTCGCCATTTACCCCTAAAGCATACACTGCAGATACTATCTAGTGACAAAACAAGTCACAAGTAGAGAAGTAATTTCGTGGCGTTCATTCTCTGTTTATTCATTGCAGCCTTGAACTTTAAAGTTTCTAAACTAACAACAGTAGATACTCGAATTTCAGTAAGTCTGCTTACCGGCGTCACTGTGCGATCCAAATGTATGGCTATACAATGACGAATGTGTACATCAAGAACCAGCGATAATACTAAGGTACCCGATTTCTCCTTCTTTGATTTAAGACAAATTAAGACTTGGAAAACCGAACAGTTAGCATGGCACTGGAGATACGGAAGCTCTTTCCCATCTGCCTCGGAGGTGAGACATATGTACAAGATTGGTGGGCGCTGGTTTGGGTGCAGTGTTTTATGCAGTAATTAAATATATTTACATTGAATGACGTCAACGTCTGGGCTGGAATCACGCGATATTTTGGAGAGAAACAACGGACCATTATTGAAAGCTATTCGACTGTGCACACAACGTTATGTAATATTATGCAAAGGAAAGCGTAATTTTAGATGGCACACTTTTCAGATATTGGCCAGTGGGGGTGGTAGCAGTGTATCATTACACCCATAAAAAATTCACCGTAATACCTCAAGTTCTCCCAAACACCGAGAGCAATAAGAAAAGTAATACCACACGGTACACTTGTTTTGTTTTTTGATCATGGCAAATGCCATACAGCTTTTTAAAATCCTATATAAAACATAACACAAACCTGTTCATAAGTTGTGGTTAAGATTTGAAGAAAATATAGTAAATGACAAGAGCGGGGGGTACTCTCTTGGGTATATGCAGCTCCAACAGAGTATTTAAAATTGTGTTCTCTAATAGGGAATGGTTTGCTCAAAAATTAGACATGTTTGGTTAGGAACCGCAACATTTCTCTTCTATTCGACATCTTGGACAGAAGTTGACTGTGATTAATTTGAAGCTCTTTTGCAAAGTGGTAACAGATCAATCAGCTACTGGAAAGCTAAGAAAATGCATTAAGGTGCCCGTGCTGTAACTGTATGGTAGGAAATAGGGCATTAAATTTTGAGTCAGGTCTGAAATGTAGTGGGAAAAAATCTCATAATTAGGGTGAATTCGTCAATCTGACCCAATCTCCGTTTTCTCGGTTACCGATAAAACATATTTATTGATTCATTGAAGATATTTTAGGGTTTTGATATTGTAGCCTTTTTGCCTCATTTTTGTAATTAAGGGTAATCCGGGGGGTTCCAGCCCGTCAGGGGGGTGTTCCAGGGTATTCCAGTGTGACATGGGGTGTTGCAGGCCCGTTTCTGGTTTTACAGACACCCATTGTACTCTGAGCCGCTACCAGTTTTCTTCATTTTGTTTTACAATGTAAGTCCGTGTGGTAGTAATTAATTTCGCGAATAAGGTGGACCAAGTATTTTTCGAGACTCCACTGTGATTTCAATTAACTGATGCAACGGAGCAGATAACAAACATATCTAGGAACGTTTTATGCAACATGGTTCTTCAAACAGCATTGCAAAATTAAAATCCTAATCCCGTGGGAAAAACGGACTAATTTACCAAGAATGAATCCAGAATAGAAACACGCGATTAAATCAGTTAAATTTGTAAAGTAAGGGGTTGACTGAATTAAGCGACGCATAAGTGAAGATCAATTTTTCACCTTTATGTTGTCACTGTTGCATTTTATTTGCAACACAATTGATCGGGGACAATTGATATATTTTAATTAAAAGAACTTGCAGCTTTGTTGATTTGCGCTCCGAACGAAACAGAAGTCTGTTAAAGACCGAGAACAATATTAAAGCCGGACTTATTGAAAGACTGTGATGTAGATTAGGTTAGTTTAATTCTTAAACACACGACCCCACAAGCTTTTATAGCGTTAAAAATTATCGTGTTTAAATAAAGATTATGTATGTATGTATGTATGTATGTATGTATGTACGGTCACTACGGTCATTGATCTTCAGCTGCCAATTTTAAGTTTAGTGACCATCTTTTCACAGAAAAATTCTTTTGCAGTTTGAAGTTAATGAGTTCGAGAAGAAGCATCATGAAAAGTTGCGAGCAGTGTTGGACAGAATCAGTTTTGTTAGTAGCTTGCAAATTTGTTAAGACATTCATTTTCCTCATTAATGTCACGATTTACCCGGCCTAAAGCATACACTGCAGGTACTATCTAGTGACAAAAATAGCCACAAATAAAGAAGTAATTGCGTGCCGTTCATTCTCTGCTTATTCGTTACTTCCTTAAACTTTAAAGTTTCTAAAGTGAACATTCGAGTTTGCGAAAGTCTGCTCTTACCGGCGTCACTGGGCGGTCCAAATGTATGGCTAAACATAAATGACGAATGGGTACATCAAGAGCCAGCGATATGCGATAATACTAAGGTACCCGATTTCTCCTTCTTTGATTTAAGACAAATTAAAACTTGGAAAACCGACCAGTTAGCAACGCATAGAAGATATTGAAGCTCTTTCCTGCCTTGGTAACCGAGACATATGTCAGGAAGAAGATTTAGTGGGCGCTGCCTTAGGGTGCGATGTTTTATGCAGTAATTATATTTAAATTAAATGACGTCAACGTCTGGGCCGGAATCACGCGCAATATTTTGGAGCGAAACAACGGATCGTTATTGAAAGCTGTTCAACTGTGCACATAACGTTATGTAATGTTATGCTAAGGAAAGAGTAATTTTAAGTGACACACTTTTCAGGTGTTGGCCAGTGGGGGTAGCAATGTATCCCGTAATACTTTAAGTTCTCCCAAACACCGAGAGCAATACGAAACGCAGTACGAAACTGTTTTTTTGGTTTTAAGTGTGTTAAACTCTCAAGAAAATGAAGTGAATGACGATAAGTCCCTTAATGCTATACTTTCCTGTGAAATAAGCAACATGATTTAACGACATCTTGAAGTATTATCACTGTGACCTGTCTTAGAAGGAGAATCATATAATTGATTGTGTGGATTTCGTTACAACATCTGAAATTGCGCGATGTTTATAACTAAGCAGCCAGCTGACAAGGGAAGGTGGTGGAAGGGTGGGGGGGGGGGGTATGTCAGTTGTTTTAGCCTTTTAGGCTTTTGTAAAATTGCAAATAGATTTTACAAATTTTGGTCTTAATGATAGGGAATGCTTTACTCTAAAATTAGGCATGTTAGAAACCACAGCATTTCTCTTCCATTCGACAATTTGGGGCAGAACTTGATGACTGTAATCAATTTACAGCTCTTCCAGACCTCTCAAGTCTCACGGTTTTGAGGACAATCTCACGGTTTCACGATGAGGCACAAAAATCTCACGGTAAACAGATACACAAGCCGATGCAATACACTTTTTGAATATTTTCATTTTTGCCTTGTAAAATAGATTTTCAGGCGTCAATTCTGTAGAAATCCTACCCTGGGTGCCAGAGGCTTTTCATGCGCGGTTTCCGGTTTCGGTCTTGTCTTAAAAAGTGACCCGCGCGAAAAGCTTCGCTGCTCGTGTCTTCGGCCTGGGCCGACGAAACGAAGCTCCCCGTCCGCACGCGAGAAAAAACCTCTGGTACCTAGGGTATAGAAATCCACGATTCTAAGGCATATTTATATTTAAATTTTTCTGTTATAAGTAGTAAGCTTACTAACGTAGAAATCCTATTAAAATATTAACCTTTCCATGTTGTTTTCCATTGGCATAGTTTCCTTCGAAAATATCACCATTTCGTAGAACAGCTTTTCCATATCCATGCCTTTCTCCGAGGTCGTTTTTCTCTCCTTCGTATTTCTGTTTTTAAACAAAGGTCACGGATCTTAAGCTTAATTAAGTTTAGGTAAGACTTTACGAGAGTTCCTGTAAATTAACCCAACCAGTTTTTTCGATTTGTTTGTTTGCTTTTTACACAAGCGTCAAGCTTTCCATTTGGCTGGTTTTATTTTGTGGATTGAACATTTCCTATTAGTACCGGATCCAGGAGAGGGGCCCGCCCCCGGCTTATTTTTAGACCAAAAGAGACCGACCCAGCCCCCTTCCCCCCCCCCCGCTCTTTATCTCAGAGTCTGGAAGACCGGATCCCCACCTTATCTAAAGGTCTGGATCGGCCACTGTCTGTAAACCGTTCATCCACTGGGCGGGAAACAATCTCAAGTAGAAAATGTTAACATTGCTGTCATTTTTATAAACATAAAACTTAAGTTAAATTAATACTTCAAGCATAATTTTTACTTCACTAAGTGGTCGGCAAGTACTGAGTGTTGTTTTCAAACAAGCTAGCAAAAGTAAATGGCTTGCTTACCCCTAAATCACTGCTCTAATCCAAATGTTCCGAACCAGCTCCAAATAAATC